CACAAGATGGCACAGCTTGGCTCCACTGTCCATGAGCTGGGAATACTCCGCATTGCAAGATATCGGTTGTTAGGCCAACACCTACAGTAGAAGCTTTCCCCCCTCCAAGCTCAGGAAATGAACCATGTTAATGTTGTCATGTAGATGATACGCGTGATTGATGAACAGAAATCCTGCTGTTCTTCACGATCACTAGCATCGGCCCGGTACTGTACGGTGTACCATTGATTGTTCTCGATAGACTCAACGCATCCTATTGTCTGCTGATTACCGTGTCGTGCAGTTTCCCGTTCACCTCTTGCTGGAGCAAAAATGCCGAGAGATCGTGCTCAAGGGAATCAAGACTGTGTAGCGCTATTGTCTTGAAATTCGAAATTCGTCTGGGTGCCTGAGAATTGCCCCCACCCCCCATTTATCTCGCCGCGCATGTCGGCACTCTAGACGGGAGCTCTGCCCCAACATTGTAGCAAACCGGCACTACTGAATAACATCGCGAGTGTTCACAGCTGCGCTGCGCAGTACTCTGTGAGACCTTAAACTAGCTAGCAAGCCAAGCATAACGCTTAGGCTAGTTTGACCACGCCACACTCAAAGACCAGAACCAACAGTGACATACAGCGACTTCGCAATGGCACTGGCTCATGACAACTGGAGCACCCCGCGCAGAAAGCTCTTTGACGACGGAAACGACGAGACTCGGCTGCAAGTTGGTCCAGCGCAAGGCCCCCTTCACGAAGTCTTTCAAATTTGTTCACTTTGCGCTAAGTGCTCCGGGCTTGGAGCGACAGTGCGCCCCTTCGCCTGGCGCAAGAGCCACGCAGGCCTGGGAGCGCTTTTGGGGCTGGGCGGTGAGGGAATTTTGCGAGGTTCCGGGTGGAAAGAGAGAGCGCGGGCGGCTCCCGGCATTTTCTGTCTGAGCCCTTGACATGCGCAGCAGCAATAAGCAGTTCTGAAAGCAGGACAGCTAAAGGTTGTCCGGTAAATGTGCGGCTGGCAGTCCTTTTGCAATGTGCATCGTGTATGGTATGGCTTCGAGCTATAGTGTCGCTTCCCGGTGCTATGCCAGGTCTCAACGTTGCCCAGGAGTTGGCTCCGCCGGCTGGCAGCTTAGTAGTCCTTTTTCGATGCCGTAGCCGTTGCTAAACGACTTCCCTCAATTGCACACGCCCGCTTTATGTTGTTCGTTTGCATCGAGCAGTGTGCTGAAGTGTGTTTGTAGATCTCTGTGGAAGATCATCTAATCTTCAGCCCATGGAACGGCTCGCGTCGAGGTGGACTTGGTCCAGGAGCTGGCCAGAACCCGCCAGCATCTTGAAGAGGACTTACTACTACTACTACTACTACTACTACTACTACTACTACTACTACTACTACTACTACTACTACTACTACTACTACTACTACTACTACTACTACTACTACTACTACTACTACTACTACTACTACTACTACTACTACTACACTACTACTACTACTACTACTACTACTACTACTACTACTACTACTACTACTACTACTACTACTACTACTACTACTACTACTACTACTACTACTACTACTACTACTACTACTACTACTACTACTAACTACTACTAACTACTACTACTACGACTACTACTACTACGAACTACTACTACTACGACTACTACTACTACTACTACTGCTACTGCTACTGCTACTACGACTGCTACTGCTACTGCCACTGCGACTGCGACTGCCACTGCGACTGCGACTGCTACTGCTACTACTGCTACTGCTACTGCTACTGCTACTACTGCTACTGCTACTGCTATCGCTACTGCTACTGCCACTGCTACTGCTACTGCCACTGCGACTGCGACTGCTACTGCTACTGCTACTGCTGCTACTGCTACTGCTACTACTGCTACTGCTACTGCTATCGCTTCTGCTACTGCTACTGCGACTGCGACTGCTACTGCTACTGCTACTGCTACTACTGCTACTGCTATCGCTACTGCTACTGCCACTGCTACTAAGCATACGGTAACTGGCGCTACTTGTTGTTTCTTGGCGTTGGACTTGTTGGCTCAACGCCGGGCGCGCGGCTCAAGGCCTTGTCCTAGCTGTGCGGATTAGACCTCTTGCTCAAGATGGATACCCTTCAGAACGCAGGCGCGGAGGGACCGTTGCAGGAAGGATCAAAGTATTGCCTCATTCATTTTCCAGGTCCGGCGGCTGATACGGTTGCCAGGATCGGAACTCAGATTCGCGTTATTTCGGCGCTGACGCTTGGGGAGGGGAGTGAGAGAGAGAGAGAGAGAGAGAGAGAGAGAGAGAGAGAGAGAGACACGTGTGTTATAACATGGGAGTTTTGTCTGCTGGATTGAAAGGGAGGCTGAGCAGCGCACTGGATCGAGAGCTGAGACAGGTGTAACGACTCATTGCGCCTTGACATAAATGATCTGGGTCCTCCGGATGCCCAGTCGGTGCCGGGAGCTGCGTGATAGCCTCAGAGGACAGACATGCATAAGTTGGGAAGACTGTGGGCTGTTAGCCAGGCAAATCCTGAGGAGTCAGCAGGACTCACTGATTCTGGCGCAACAGGACAGGTGTAAAGACAACTTGGGCAGACTAGGTCGACAAGGTAAGGCCCACGAGCCACAGGCCGACCCAGAAGGAGGGCGGAGGTCCTGAAGGGGGGTGGGGAGGCAAGGGGGGTGGGGGGTGGGTGTGCGCGCACATACACACTACACTGGCGCACTGTACGGGCCGACTTGTAACCGTTGCAATCACTTGGTTGGCGCTTGTTCCCCTTGCCCTCCCCCCCCCCCCAACTGAGTTATTTGTGGCTTGTTATAGGAATAAAGCAGTGTATTGGGCGTACTCTAGTACTGCCATGGCTGTCCCGCGGGTTGTGCAAAGATGCTGCCAGTCCACGCCAACAGTGCAGCTGGCCTTGTTGATGAGAAGAAGGAGATGAGCCAGCGAGTGGTGCTGGACCGGCTGACATGGATAGGGTGATGTGAAAGAGTGGAAATGGGCCTGATGAATTCAATCGGGAATTCAGCCGAATTCGTGCTGCCTGGGAATTCATGAGATTTCAGTTGGAGGAAGGATCTCAGCTGAGCTGTGGAAGGCGGGCAAGGCATGGCTGAACCCCAACTCCAGTCGGTGAATTCAGTACGATTCCTTGCAGTCTGGGCTGGGCAGTGGAGAGGAGCTGGTAACTACAACAACGAATTCATGAATTCATCACAACTCCTTGCAATTTGTGCGGGGCAGTGGTGTGGAGACGTTAGCTGCAGCCGACGAATTCATGGCAACTGGAGCTGAGCGGTGAAGAATGGCATGGGAAATTCGTGACGATGATGAGATGGAATTCACTGCAATGATGAGGTGGTACCTGCAAGTGATGAATTCAATACAATGGGAAAGAGTTTGGCTCTGTGGACTGCAGGTGATGAATTCAATACAATGGGAAAGGGATTGGTTCTGCAGATGGAGAAAGAGATGAGCACAATGCTGCGCAGGTGTGTAGCACGTGTGAGCCATGCAGATGCGATGAGGGGACTTGAGAAGAGGGACATCAGATTATGGTCTGCTGAAGGTCGTGTGCTGAGGTCGTGGGCAGTCGTATCACCGAGGGGTCGTCGTAGTTGCAGAGAAGCTGATAGTCATTGAAGTCTGCAAAGCCTGTAGACAGTGTCACCAGAAGGATCCAACCGAAGCCTTGCCGGCCTTGTGCGAGTGTGAGAGTCGAAACCATAGGCCGGGTTAACCCTAAACCCTAAAGCCTAAACCCTAAACCCTAAACCCTAAGCCCTAAGCCCTAAAACCCTAAACCCTAAACCCTAGACCCTAAACCCTAAACATGAGAGAAGCGGGGAATGGCGTAAGTTCTGCAAGGTCCTACTGGGGCCGTCTTTCTTCTTCTTTTTCCTGACTGGACAGATCATAGACGTAACCCTGCCTGCGGTTCGGCCAGCTATGCGGGAGCGAAAAAACAACCCTAAACCCTAAACCCTAAACCCTAAACCCTAAACCCTAAACCCTAAACCCCAAACCCCAAACCCTAAACCCTAAGCCGAGTAGAGCCCGAAGCCCAGAAGACTCGCAGAGGCGTTGCACCTCCGCTGCTGGCGCGAGGGGGCGGCCGATCATCCCGGCCTCAAGCGCCCTTCCTTCACCTTAAGGGTTCAGGGTTTGGGGTCTAGGGTTTGGGGTTTGGGGTTTACGGTGTGGGGTTTAGGGTTTGGGGTTTGGGGTTTAGGGTTTGGGGTTTTTTCGGTTTTTTAGGGTTTTTAGGGTTTGGGGTTTGGGGTTTGGGGTGACTGTTGAGAGTTGAGTTGAGGAAGCCCGCCCCGCTTACTAGCATATTGACCTGACCGTCGCAGACGTTGCGACCTTTCCTGGCTTGATGCGGAAGAGCTTGGGGTTTAGGGTTTAGGGTTTAGGGCCTGTTCAGGGTTTAGGTTTAAGGGTTTAGGGTTTAGTAGGGTGTACGAAATATCAACCCCTCTAAGGCCAGAGAGTTGCAAGTGAAGCGGCCTTTGGGGCGGTCTGAGACCCCTAAACCCTAAACTGCTCCAAACCCATCGAACTTGGCCTTGAAAACTAACAGTCCTTAGTAGAGATTCTAGCACCCCTATTATAATCCCAATTCAGGACTGTCAGTGTAAGGGGGGACATCTTAACATCGAAGCCCTAAACTCTAGGGGTCTTCAGACCGGCGCGCGCTCAGAAAGCGCGCCTCCACTTGATAGGCCCTAAGGTTCGGGGGCGGCGGAGACTGGGTTTTGAGGGTTTGGGGGCGACCCGAGGCCCGACCCCCGGCCTCCTCTTACGTGGAATTAGTCTTCGTGTGCAGTATAGGGTTTAGGGTTTAGGGTTTAGGTATGTGTGGCGGAATGCAGGGGACTAGAATTACAGCCAACTTCTTTGGGGGGGATTCAGGTTTATTTGGGGACGAAGGGCCCGAATTCTGTGGAGTTTTTGGACGCTCCCATGTTCCGAGGCAGGGCTACTTCCCTTCGGGCTACATGCCCAATGGCGACCGTCTGGATTTTGTACCAGGCATAGTTTTGTACCAGGTATAGTCCTGCGACTTTATTTGTGCCAGGCATAGTCCTGAGCCTTTAGACACGTGGTTCGCGCAAAGTTTGGGCAACCGTCTGGATTTGTGCCAGGCAAGATTGGCCTGAGATTTTAGACACGTGGCTCGCGCAATGTTTGGGGCCCGACTGTACGGGCTCTTTCCTAAACCCTAAACGCTGAAAACCGATAATTAAGCCCTAAACTCTTAGTTCTTGGGCTGAGGTTCGAGGACTGATTTCGGTGTTGCTGGCCTTGGTGGCAGGACTAAAGGCCCCAAACCGTAAAGGCCCTAAACCCCAAACCCCTAAACCCTAACCCTAGACCCTAGATCCTAAGCCCTAAGCCCTAAACCCTGTTTTTGGGTTGAGGGTTGAGGTTTTCGATTGGGTTCCAAGATTGCTTCACAAAGGGCCCTCGTCATTATCCCTCTTTTCCATCTGTAGTAGTTGCAAACATAAACCCTAAAACCTAAACCTAGCCCCCGTCCCTCCCGGCTGGCCCCCAAATACTCCTACTACCTGAATACGCCTAGTTTGAGCCCGAAGCTTTGTACCAGGCTCAGCCAGGAGATTCCGAGTATTGAAGCACAGACACTGCCACCGGCAAAGGGCTTCAGGGGCTTACAGCCTATGCAGCCCCAAAGCCTAAGACCCAAACCCTAAATGGTATAGGGGTATAGAGTTTGGAGTTTGGGCTTCAAACGCCGCTCGAGAAGTGACGCAGGTGGAGCGCCACCGACGCCTTGGCAGAAGCAGGACAAGACGCCCGGCTTGCAACACCCAAAGCCACCTGAACCCCAAACCCTAAACCCTAAACCCTAAAAGTCGCACACTCCTCGCCCCTAAGACCCAATCTTTGAGCACCCCGCCCCAAATCGCAAAACCCTGAAATCCGAAACCCCTCCCTAGCCCCTGGGGATGCCACAGAGACGAAGCACCAGGCTAAGCTGGGTTTCGATGGGTTTTGATGGGGTTTTTGGCTGGAAGTCTGGTGAAGACCACGGGCTTAAGTCGTTTTATTTAAGCCCTAAACCCTAAGCCCTCAATCCCAAACCCTAAACCCTAAACCCTGCCCTTTCGGAAGTCCTAAGCTCTCAAGGCTTCGTGCCTCCGAGGTTCTCTCCGCCGGCCCCACTCCAGCTGCAGGATGAGCCAAGTCCGGAGAGGACGCCTTCAACATCCTACGCCCAAAGTACGCACTGTAAGCCCTAAACCCGAAACCCTAAACCTGAAACCCTAGCCCTAAACCCTAAACCCTAAACCCTAAACCCTAAGCCCTACGCCCTAAGCCCAAAACAGGTAGGCGTCGTCTGCCAGGTTTGATACATTCGTGAACCCAATGCCCTGAAACCCCTCAACAAAACGGATCCCTCGGCAAATGCTAAGCCCACCCTACTATAAACCCTAAACCCCCAAACCTCTAAGACCTGGGGCTTGGTCTTGAGAACTGGACTGTACTTGGAGGTGCATGGTACTTCGTAACCCAATTAAAACTGTATTTATGGGTTTCAATATAGCAATATTAGGGCACTTAAGGGGCTTATAAGTGGGTTATGGCCAAGTACCATGAACCTCTCCAAGTAGCCTGTGACACAGTAGTCTGACTGTTGCCCACTAGAGGAGACCCCCTGAAGTAGTCCCCGCGGCGTGCGCGAGTGCTGGGCGGGTGGCAAAAACCAAAAACCCTAAACCTCAAGCTCTGCGCGATTCTGCGCAGTTCAGGGCTTAAGCTTGAGTTTTCGTAACCAACAATCACCGCCCACAAAGCATCAATGCCGAGTAACCCCCTTCCCCATGATGTTTAGCCCCTCCCCCCCCCCCCCCCCCCCCCCCCCCGCCCCCCCCCGCCCCCCCCCGCCCCTCCGCCCCCCCCCGCCCCCCCCGCCCCCCCCCCCCCCCCCCCCCGCCCCCCCCCGCCCGAGATTAACCCACTTTACAACCAGAATCCCCGCTTTACAACCAGAATCCCCACTTTACAACCACAGGCACTGTTTCCGGTGTGAGAATCCCCACTTTACAACTGCCGATCCGGAGAACGCCCACTTTGCAACCCGTCTACCTATGATTAAGACCTATTGGGATTTCATAAGTTTTTACAACAAACCTACCTAGATTCCATATAGTTTGGTTCCTCGAGACTCCCTCAAGTGTCTAACTTATGGGGCCTTCACCCGACGCAGGTTGTCGTGGCTTGGTTTAGGTAGGTCTGTGTTTAAAAAGGAACACACCCCATTATGTTTATTGTTATCTTTGTGTCTCGTCTTTCCCCGAATGTTAAAAAGCGTTTCTTTTTCACAATTTTGTTTTTGGGCCTGATTTAGGAATTGGTTATGTTTTAATGCGCTTCGCACTCCTAGCCTTGCCTGTGGTGGGTTGGTGGGTTGGGGTTCTAAAAAGCATTTTTTCTGTATGCTTTCCCCGATACAAACACACAAGAACGGAAAGTCATTATTTGAAAGTACTTGTATGGCCCAAAACCATAAGTACAACATCAAATTAAAATGACTCAAACAACGTCCACGCTGGTGAGAAAAAAGCGTCCGTCCGCCAAGCGAGGTGCTGTGGAGTGCGAGGGTAGGAATTTGGTTGCATTTTAATGTGTTTTGCACTCCCAGATTTGCCTGTGGTGGGTTGGTGGTTTGGGTTTCTAAAAAGCATTTTTTGTATGCTTTCCCCAAAAACAAACACACAAGAACGGAAAGTCATTTTTTGAAAGTACTTGTATGGCCTAAAACATAAATACAACGTCAAATGGAATAAAATTTGGGGTTCATGTATTGGCTTTCATGTGTATATACACACATATCTGTCGTGGATTCGGGTTAAGAACGCCCACATTGCAACCGGCATGCCTTTCCAACCTGCATGGCTGCCGTAAGGGATGATGCTGGAGATTCTAAGCGTTGACGTTATCAGTTAATTGGGTTGTTAAGAAGCTTTCGCAACCGGTTGCAAAGTAGGGATTCTGGAAAGGCTTCTGGGTTGTAAAGTAGGGATTCTGGTTGTAAAGTGGGGATTCTGGTTGTAAAGCGGGGTACACGCCCCCACCCCCCCCCCCCGCCCCCCCCCCGCCCCCCCCCCCCCCCCCCCCCCCCGCCCCCCCTCCGCCCCCCCCCCGCCCCCCCCCGCCCCCCCCCGCCCCCCCGCCCCCCCCCCCCCCCCCCCTACCTCCTACTAAATACTGCCGGGTAGGGGAGTGTAATATGAGGCGGAGATCCCTGGGACGTGCAGGACGAAGCCGCAGCCAAAGAGGAAGATCAAGGACCAGCTCTCTTCTCTCCTCCAAGCGCTTCGCCAGGGCTTCCTCGACACCCTAAACCCTAAACCCTAAACCCCAAACCCTAAACCCCAAACCCCAAACCCCAAACCCCAAACCCTAAACCCCAAACCCCAAACCCCAAGCCCTAGACATAGTTCAGCGTCCGAGTCTCAGCGCCGGGCGCAGGCGGAAGTCGAGGATGGCGGGAAGGATGTCTACGAGCTGATGTGGGAGAGCGTGGAGGTCGCACCCTGGGTTATATGGGGGTTTAGAAGGTTTAGGGTTTAGGGTTTAGGGTTTAGGGTTTGGGGTTTAGGGTTTAGGGTTTGGGGTTTTACGAATGTAGGAGGGACCTCGGGGGCTAGAAACCTAAATGAGTGTGCCTTTTTGGGATCCCTTCTTTTTAAAGGGTGCCGCCTTATGATGGGTACCCACACAGGGACCCTAATTGAGGCAACTGCCCCAAAATAGATCCCACATGGTAGGACAGGGACCCCAACAAGGTACCCCACTAATTTCGGAAGCCCCTCCCATATGAAGTAGGGGCCCTTGGGTGCATAGAAGTGGTTTTTTAGGGTAATCGCCCCTTTTTTTGAAACTTTAGGGTCCCCTAAAACAAGGCACTGCGCCCTTCAAACAAGGATTTCCGAGGGGCCTAATCTAGAGGAAGTACCCACATAAGGGCTCAGGACCCCAAAAGTTCGGGGCCACGGAAGCGCCCCCTGAGGCAGTGGTGAAGGACGAGGAGCTTCGCGCGAAGCTCCTCGGGTTCTGACGCCCAAGCTACTCAACCCCCTAAGCCCCCTGAACCCTCTAAACCCCCGTAAACCCTCTAAGCCCCTCTAATTCCCCTAAACCCTAAACCGCAAACCCTCCAGAACACTGGGTGTTGCTGCTGCTAACGACTCAAACAGGATGCTTGCGCCCGCCGACAAGGTTTTCTGACTGTAGTGGCGAATCGATGTCGGTTTTCCGCACTTGCTGCGCTGCAGTGCGTCCGATGGTGGTCAGCTAGGCGGGTGGCAAAAAGAAACCTAAACAAACCCTAAGCCTTAAGTAAACCCCAAACAAATCCAAAACTTTAAACCCTGAGCTCCCTAAACCCCAAACCCTACACCCTAAACCCTAAACCCCCCTTAAACCCCCAAGAGCTAGCCCGAGGCTGTGGAAGTTTCTGCGGACTCTTGGCGCAGATCAGCCCGGGGGTTTAGGGTTTAGGGTTCAGGGTTTAGGGTTTAGGGTTTAGGGCCCAAGTTCTCTCCCGAACTTGAAGCCAGCTTTTGGGGTTTCAGGGTTTTAAGGGGAGTGAGTCTTGGGTCCTTTTGGGTTCTTCCTGGCCGGGTCGTTGCAGGCAGGTATAGAGTCAGGTTATTGGTAGGCTTTAGAGGTCAGGGTGTTTATAGGTTTCTTTGGGTGTTAGGGTTCAGGGGGTTTAGAGGCTCTGTGTGCTTAGAAGGGTGGTAGGGTTTGTAGGAGTTTGCCCCCTCGCCAGCCTCAACCCCAATGGCAGGAGGACCTATCCCGTCGCGATTCAGGAGGCTGCTGAAGGGAGAGGGCGGGACAGCCAGGAGTGTTGGGCTTAAACAGGGCTTGTTGGGCACTGAAGTCAGGGCCCTCAGGGCATACGAAGTTTGCAGTTTGGGTTGGGAAGTGAACCGAAATCCTTGGAGGATCCCCGGCCAAAGCTTCGTTGAAGCCCGGCCAGCCCAGATTGTTCACTAGAAGGACACTCTAGCTAGTTTGTCTTCAAGCCAGGGGGGAAAGCAAGGATAGCATCATTGTTCTACTTTGCGAAAGTACAGCCTTTTGATCGCACAAATTCTTCCAGGAAAACGACTTATGCCAATGTCGCATGCTTCTTGGAGAGGACCCTACTACAGTAATAGGAGTTATAGCCCGCGAGACTGGCGATCACGCGCTAGTCACGTGATCACGCATCACGGCTGTATCACGGGCTCTGTAAAGCTAATTCACTTTTAGAGGTGGCCGGCACGCGGGGTTGCCGGGCCACTCTCTTTAAGGCAGGGAGTTATGATGCCTCAATGGGCCCCTGAACTTGGGACGTTACGACCAGTCCTTAATAGGCATAAAGCAAGGTGGGAGTCCTTAATAGGCATACAACAAGGTGGGGGGGGGGGTACTAGAATCCCTAATCAGGACTGCTCGTATAGAGGGGAACATCCCAACCCTATACCGCCTATACCCTAAACCTTACACCTCATCCCTGCAGTGTGGTTACGAGACGGCCAAGAAGCCTTAAAACTTAGCAACCCCTTGTCACACAGCTTTGCGCTTCCTGATGGGATGAATTACGGGAACTACCCAAAGTAATCCTGGGCCCTAAAATCAAATCAAGTAGTCAGGCGCCCACGTTCAACCCTGAGCCCTGAAGCCCTGAGCCTTGATGTTCCTCCTTATATACTAGCAGTCCTTAATAGGGACTCTAAGAGGGGGGTACTATAATCCTGATGAAGGATTGTGAGTAAAAGGGGAACATCCCGAACTAAACCTCAAACCCACGGCAAGGCAGGAGCGAAATGCACCCCTGCTTGGCAGGCAGCCTCCCCTGTCGCGCTCTTGTGACCTGGCCGAGGGATGCTTGTAGGGAAGGGTTTTTAGAGTTAGAGAGAGGGAGGGAGAGAGAGGGAGGGAGAGGGAGAGAGGGAGGGAGTGGGAGAGGGAAAGGAAGAAGGGGTTTGGGGCTCAGCGTTTTAGTGGCATCGGAAGTTTTTACAGGGTTCAGGAACCTCGTGCCTGGAAAACCTGAACGTTCTTGCTGTGGACGTCCTCTCGAAAGTCGCGAGGCCAGCAAGTCCAGCTATTTGTCTACATTAGGGACCCAAAAAGGACATAAGCATAAGCATTTTATAGGGACATCCCTACCTCATTGGGCTTCATTCTAAGGGTGTCTATATGGGATATCCCTATATTCCCGGAGCCCCGGTAGCTCCGACTTTCCGGTTTTCGCTGAGGTCCGGGTGGGCGACGGACACGGCCTGGCGCCTGGCGCAGGCAGCGCCGGAAGCCAGAAGCTTCAGGGGGGGTTATGGGTAAAAGGGCTTTACGGCCCACCTTGGCCCCTGAGCCCTAAACCTTAAACTCTCTATTTACCGGGGTGCAGGGCAAAAACCATGCAAAAACGTCAGACCCCCTACTGGAAGCTTCATGGGTAGTTCTTCGTGTGGTCATTGTACTGATACCTTCACGCCGGAACGCAAGTGCTAATCATAGCAACCCCATGTGACTCCCTGCAGAAGACCTGTAGTTACGGTTTTAAGTTTAGAGGCAGGGGGGAGTCCATACCACCCTGAACCCGTCATCATCCTTCATCGCAACCCTAAACCCTAAACCCTAAACCCTCAACCCTAAACCCTAAACCCTAAACCCTAAACCCTAAACCCTAAACAACCGGCAAAAAAAACAACAGGCCAAGGCCCTTCAACGACCTCCGACCTTTGTTAGATCACCTCTCGCGGCAGGCAGCCTGGCAGAGTCCCATGTGCAAGCCTCAGACGAGGGTTTAGCGCTTAGGGTTTAGGGTTTCGGGTTTAGGGTTTAGGGTTTAGGGTTTAAGTAAGGTTCAGGGTTTAGGCTAGACTGCGCTGGCCTCAGTTCCAATCTTAAAAAAAACGGGTTTAGGGTTTAGGGTTATTCTCTGAGGGGCCCAGGAAGGAGAAGGTAAGCTATGTGTTTACGGTTTGAACGGCGAGGTTGGATGCAAAAGGGGCAAAAAGTCCAAAAACCTCGAGCGTCCTGAGCGGCCTTCGTCTTTTCAGGACGCTTGGGCCCCCAAACCCTAAACCCTAAACCCTAAACCCTAAACCCTAAACCCTAAACCCTAAACCCTAAACCCTAAACCCTAAACCTTTGAGTCTCTCGTTGGGGGCTGGTGGGCTTGCTGTCGGTTGAGGGATGGGTTTCGGCTCCAGATTTGCAGGTCTGAGGTTTGCTTCCAGGTAGGGGGTGTAGAGCCTTAAACCCTAAACCCGAAACTTAAACCCTAAACCCTAAACCCTAAATCCGAAACCCTAAGCCCTAAACTGCGGAGTGGCTCGTCCAGCCATGCGGGTGCCAAAGAAATCCTAAAAACCGCAAACGGCTTTGAAGCAGCCCGAACCGACCAAGAGGCTGAGCCACTCCACTGCCGGCGATATCGTTGCCATCTTGAAGCTCCTGGGCCTTAGGGGGTTTACGGTTTGGGGTTTAGGGTGTAGGGTGTTAGGGGGTTTAGGGTTTCAGGGTTTTAGGGTTTAGGGTGTAGGGTGTTAGGGTTTAGGGTTTCAGGGTTTTAGGGTTGAGTGTTTGTGTAGCCACGGGTGCTGCTCATTTCGCTTCGCAGTGTGCTTACCCGGCATTCGTCACGAGGCCTGGATGTAAACGGGTTTATTGTTTGGGCAAGTTTCGGGCGAGGCCCCGCCCCAAGCCGTTTGCGAGCAAGAGCACTCACCCTAAACCCTAACCTTAAACCCTAAACCCTAAACCCTAAACCCTAAACCCTAAACCGTAAACCCTACACCCTAAACCTTAAAGCCTAAACCCTAAACCTCCCGAGGCGCATGCGTGAGGGAGGCGCGCTCCCCGCCACTTGGATGAAACTTGCGCCTGGCCCACGAGCGCTGGGCAGATGATTGAGGATAACCCCAACACCCTCAGCGCTAAGACCCTAAAGCGGCCTAAACCCTAAATTGGTACCAGCGAACCCTAAACCCTAAACCCTAAACCCTAAACCCTAAACCCTAAACCCTAAACCCTAAACCCTAAACTGACTATACCGACATTGAAACCAACACCCAGTTCCCCGAGCCCCCAAAGTAGGGTTTTGCGTGATTTGGGCGGTTTGAGGTTGTGCTCTGATGCAGGGGTGGGGGTTCATCAAACCTGCTGTTGCAGACATGGTACCAGCAATTATATCAAGAGGTTTGGGTCTAAGCTTCTGGCATTTTCTAGTAAGAACCGGTATGTTAAGCTGCTAAGCTAAACCCTAAACTCTAAACCCTAAACCCTAAAGCCTAAACCCTAAACCCTAAACCCTAAACCCTAAACCCTAAACCCTAAACCCTAAACCCTAAACCCTAAACCGCTAAACCGCTAAACCGCTAAACCGCTAACATCGCTACTCGCGAACCTAAGGAGAGCATGGCGGGCGACACGGCCTGGGACCCTGCCAGGGGCCTGGTGTTTGGAGTGGGGGCATATTGGGTCTGAGAGTGAAAGGGCCCTAAACCCTAAACCCTAAACCCTAAGCCCTAAGCCCTAAGCCCTAAGCCCTAAGCCCTAAACCCTAAACCCTAAACCCTAAACCCTAAACCCTAAACCCTAAACCCTAAACCTTTGGGGTTTTTTGGGGCAAGGTTCTTGAGCTTGCTGCTGAGGGAGAGAAGGCGAGTCTAAGGCTGCTGTCTCCTATCTAAACCCTAAGCCTTCGTCCCGCCAGGCGGGACGCAACATCCAGGGTTTAGGGTTTAGGGTTTAGGGTTTAGCGTTTAGGGTTTAGGGTTTAGGGTTTAGGGTGAGTTCAGCCCACATCCTAAACCCAGGCCTTCGAGCAGAAGCTGGAAGCGCTGGTGGCAGCGCAGCTGTCCAGGGCAATTCCATCGCAGGCACAGAGCAGGGTTTAGGGTTTAGAGGGTAGAGGGTTTAGAGTTTAGGGTTTAGGGTCTCCTCTTGTGTTGGCGGCCTCCTTCTGGATGCAGGGCTTATGGGATTGACGGGTCATTTGTCTAGGGTTCCAGACCACCCCGGTTGCGAGGGTTGCAGCTCAGTAGGCTTGATAAGGCACTGGGCACAACGCCATAAACGTCGCTACACTCCCACACGCACACCACTGGCCCCTGGCCTAAGCTCAGAAACTCGGCCACCTGAGCGCCCTAGTCGCGTGCAATCGCGCAAGCCTTGGCCAGAATAGTCGCCCGAAAGGCTGAGTCCACAACCCCCAAGAGGGTTTCGGGAAGGTAGCGGACACTCAGAGGGAGCTCCGAGGTCAGTGCGTGAGGGATGGATGTTGCGAGTTGGGGATGCAAGGGGGGACTGAGACTGCAGAACGCCTTCTTCGGTCACGTTGGGGTGGTCGGTCGACCTGAGTCTTTCGCAGGGCTTCGGTGATCTGAGCTCGAAACCTGCCAGAGGGAAGCAGCAGGAGGAGGAGGAGGAGGAGGAGGAGGAGGAGGAGGAGGAGGAGGAGGAGGAGGAGGAGGAGGAGGAGGAGGAGAATTCACAAGCATGAAGTATCCACAACCAATCCACAAACACACTAAGATTTCCTCCCCCGCCTCACGCTCCCCCAAAACCGACACCCGGCAACCCTAAGTTCTGAAAAGAGCCCCACCCTAAACCCCTCAAGCCTAAACCCTAAGCCCTAAGCCCTACACCCGAAACCCCTAAACCCTAAACCGTAAAACCCTAAACCCTAAACCCTAAACCCTAAACTAAACCCTAAACTAAACCCTACACCCTAAACCGTGAACCCTGAACCATAAACAGCCTGAGGACGGTGGCCAAGGCGGCCAAGGCGTCGAAGATGCACCGACGCCCGCTGCAAAGCCGACGGGAAGCCCCGAAGTCGAGACCAAGGCGTAGTTTTGAGTTGGGTTTCAGGTCTAGGGTTTAGGGTTTAGGGTTGAGGTCTAGCAAACAACTGTTATTCGACATTTTCCTCTTGAGAGTGGACGTCAGAGTACAGGTGCCTGGAAATCGTTTCAGACCACGGAGGTCATTGGATGGGTCTTTCTCTCAGGAGGTCCAGTCAATGTTGACAGGAGGGGGCTACTGGAAAGCAGCACGTCATCCTTTCAATACGAAACTTCCTTTATTATTGGATTGCCCTTTACGGCTTGGTGATCCATATGAAGTTTGGAAATCAGCTTGGGGGGTCTTTACTGTAGTGGCCCCACAAGTCGAGTGCTTCTGGGTCATCGGATGTGCACGATGCCTTGCCCAAACCCTAAACCCTAAACCCTAAACCCTAAACCCTAAACCCTAAACCCTAAACCCTAAATTCTCAAGAGCACTAGCCGCTTGAAGGCGCTTCCAGCAGCAGGCCCGAAGAAGGGCGCCCAGCGACGCTTTGACTTGCTTTCAAGTGGCCCTGGAATCTTTCTTAAGGGTCTTAGGGCTTTAGGGCTTTAGGGTTTTAGGGTTTTAGGGTTTTAGGGTTGTAGGGTTTTAGGGTTTTAGGGTTTTAGGGTTTTAGGGTTTTGAGGTTTTGGGGTTTTAGGGTTTTAGGGTTTTAGGGTTTAGGGTTTAGGGTTTAGGTTATTGGGATGTTCCCCCTTATGCTAAAAGTCCTTAATGGGGATGATAGTACTTTACTCCCTATCATAAGCCCTATTAAGGACTGCTAGTATAAGGGGGAACATCTCAGGGTAGTTACATGGTTCCCCAATGTGGGCCCGAAAGGGGAACCCTTATATCAGGGTAGTTACATGGTCCGTTGCTATGGGCCCTGAACTGGGGAACCCTGATACAAGGGTAGTTACATGGTCCCGAAATTTAACCCTAAACCCTAAACCCTAAACCCTAAACCCTAAACCCTAAACCCTTTAACTCGGGAAGTATTGGGGAACCCTTATGTATACACCCCTTGTATGCCCTACAAAGCCCAAGGGCCCACTCTGCAGAACCGATACCGAGAGAGTACTTGGCACTTGGTGTTTTAGGGTTTAGGGTTTTTAGGGTTTAGGGCTTTCCCGGCAGCTGTGCAGACCTGGTTGTAAAAGGGTTTAGGGTTTAGGGTTTAGGGTTTTAGGGTTTAGGGTTTAGGGTTTAGGGTTTTAGGGTTTTAGGGTTTAGGGTTTAGGGTTTAGGGTTTAGGGTTTAGGGTTCAGGGTTTTGTGTGCTTGGTGCCCTGAAGTCGTGGCCCCAAGGAAAGTCGGCGAAAGGCAGCGCGAAGGGACATGGCAAGGCCTGCTGCCTACGAGCGGAGAACCCTTGACCTTGTGAAATTAGTGCGTCGCAAAGGGCAACCTGGGCTTTAACCCAAGGATTGCCAAGGGCTCCGGCGGTTTTTAGGGGTTTCTGGACATCTCGCGGTGTTGTGTGAGAGTGTGGGCAGCGGGTGTGGCTTGGTGTGGATGCTCTGGGTTCCTTCCATGTTAAAGACACATGGCGCGCCAAAGAAACACATGACCCCAGACAAAAGAAGAAAAACCCTCACTTGGGGTTGAAGCGGGTCATGTGTATGAGCATCTTTCAGAGGGTTTCAAAGGGCCAACCTTGACTCCTTCACCCTGGACCCTGCGTAGGGCGTTGGGACCCCTTAAACCCCGAAACCCTAAACCCTAAACCCTAAACTCTAAACCCTGAACCCTAAACCCTAAACCCTAAACTACATCTTCCTTTATGGGCTTAAGAGGGTCATGGTGAGGAAAAGGTTTCTGAGGGGTTTTTTTAATGGCCATCCTAGGACCCCCTGAACCTCTGCAAAGAGCTGGTAAGATGCCAGATGCTTGCACAGCCCTGGCGGAACCCAACGCCGTCATGCCTGCAAAGAGGTATCGCAGAGAACATGGGTTTAGGGCTTAGGATTTATGGGGTTTAGAGGGTTTATAGGGTTTATAGGGTTTAGAGCTAAGGGTTTACGGTAGAGAACATGAAAGCCTTTCCGAATGCCTCTTGCTGGAAGAGGTTTGACGCACCCGAAACCCCAAGCCCTCTCTCTTCGGAGACAGCAGGGTGAGACACATGCCCAAGCCTGGAACCTGTACTTGGGGGGGGGTCATTGGGCTTAGAACTGCTCAAGCCCGGCACGAACGAGTTGAAACTTGAACCTCCCATGCGACCCACACCCCCTCAGATCCCTGCATTCTGCGAGGCAGCCAAGTCCGAGGAAGCCAGCGGCAGCAAAAAGCGCAGCGGCAAGCAGGAGCCACGGTGAGTGTTATAATTCCTGGGCAGAATTTATCCTGAAGTTATAAGAAATGTATAGGCTGCAACGCACAAAAGTTTAGTTACTCGTCAAGATTGAGCGGAAACCCGCAAGCCCACCGTACACAATCTCCCAGCCCAGTCTAAGTGTGGCCTCCCACAAAGCTTTTTCTCCGTGGGGGATTACGGGGAAGGTGCCACAAGAGCCATTCAAATTCCCAAGCTCCGCACTGAGAGCCCATAAGTCGTTTTGCACCTTCTAGCTCGGAAGCCTGCAGCCCTCCACCCCACGCCTTGGGGTTTCCAGGGGCTAGGCTGCGAGGTGTTTGGGGGTTGAGGGTCACCTTGCTGCATTGCTGGTACATAGCTGCTTGCAGGTTTCTGTGGTGGTGCCTGACAGGTGACAGTGAGTGAGAGAGAGAGTGAGAGAGAGAGAGAGAGAGAGAGAGAGCGAGAGAGCGAGAGAGAAGGAGAGAGACATTCTCATCCCTGTTTGTTTTGAGGGGGACGATCCCTACCCTAAACATCCCTAAGCCCCAAACCCCAAAGAGTCCACGCAGGATCTCAGGGAAGTTGCATGGTCCCTTAGTATGGTCCCTTACCTTCTCAAAGGGTTCTGAAGTATGAACCCTTGGGTTTTTTCGGGTATATAAGGGTTTAGGGTTTAGGGGTTTAGGGTAAGGGTTCCCCCAATTTAAGGGCCCAAAACAAGGCACCATGCAGCCACCCTACTTGGAGGTTCATGGTACTTCATAACCCAATCATAACTGCACTTTTCATCCAACTATAACCACATTGGGGCACTTAAGGAGCTGACAACTGGGTTATAAGTGCAATTATAGTTTGGTTCTTAAGTACCCTAAACCCTAAGCCCTAAACCCTACACCCTAAACCCTAAACCGCGCCCTAAACCCTAAACCCTGACCCCTAAACCCCAAACCCTAAACCCTAAACCCCAAACCCTAAATCCTTATAAGTACCATGCGCCTCCAAGTAAGACACAGGAGCCAGCACAGGCCCAGCAGCCAGGGGCCGCGCCGGGAAAAGGCGCCCCGGCGCGCCGACTCTTCACCGGCGCCCTCCAGGGGTTGAAATCCTAAGTCGGGGTTTAGGGTTTAGGGTCTAGGGTTTTGGGTTTAGGGTTCAGGGTTCAAGGTTCAGGGTTTAGGGTTTAGGGTTTAGGGTTTAGAGTGGGAGGGGGGGGGGTTTAGGGGAGATAGGGTTTAGGACAAAAAGGTCTGGGGGTGTCTAGGGTTTTTAAAGGGTGTTCAGGGGTGTAAGGGGGTTCAGGGGGGATGCGAAAGTCAGTCTGGCGCAAGGCTGGCTTAGCTCAGTTTCTCCCAGCTCCTGGCACAGAAAAAGTGCCTGCGTGCCTTTGCGTCCTGCGTCCTGGTGCTCAGGGTTTGGGGTTTCTCTTACGTCGCTTCCGCCGAGGCTCCGCTGCATGCACTCATCGGATTGCTTGAGGTAGGTACTGGTAAGGCGGAGAGGTACGAAGGAGCCCTAGAATCCTTAACACCTTAAACTTGGGCCTAAGCCCTACAACCACAGGATTCTTTACTTGATTGCGCTTGCAAAAAACGCTGCCTGTGTCTCCTTAGGGTTAAGGTCTTTTTTGGTTGATGTACAACCCAATGGACTATGAAGCATACTACGCTGCAAGTGCGTCTTATTATGGCATGAAGGCCCTAGTTTTCTTTGGTTTGTGTAAAGCCTAGACGGATATTAGGCATAACGTTTGAAAGGGGGATCCTAGAACGACCCCTCTTAGCCCGGAAACTTAGCCCTCAACATTGCGCTCCAATCAGGCCCTTCAGGTATTGTGTACCGTATTCGAGTGTTGGATTAAGCGGTTTGGGGCCTACAAGCCCTAAACCCTACAAACCCTACAAGCGCGAGAACCCTGCAAGCCCCAAGATGCCCAAACAACGAATCTGCAACCAGCGACCAGCAAAAGGTCAGGCTCAAGGTCCATATGGAGGGCTTCCGAAGACCATCTCGCCCGTTATCTGCAAGCCCTTAAACCTCTTGGCCTCTCGAGGGGTTTTGAAGGTCAGAAGGGAACTGCCTTGGCCCCCCAAAAAGCGCTTCCCCGCTCCCCCCCCCCCCTACATCGCCCCGGCCTGCCCGCCCCCCAAAAGGAAAAGGAGAAGAACCAACTGAAGCTGAACATCCCCAAGCAGGGCTTAGGGTTCAGGGTTTAGGGTTTAGGGTTTAGGGTTTAGGGTTTAGGGTTTAGGGTTTAGGGTTTAGGGTTTAGGGCCAGCCCTGATCCCGGAGTGTTGTGCCATGCCGCCGAAGACGCAGATAGTGACAGAGGAGCCGCCGGCGAAGGCAGACATGGGGATCGGAGGGCCAGGGCTGAGGCTCAGGGTTTGGGGTTTAGGGTTGAGGGTTTAGGGTTTAGGGTTTGGGGTTTAGGGTTTAGGGTCAGTTTAGGGCTGATGAAGGATAGTAGCCCTAAGCCCTAAACCCTAAACTCTTCGAAGTAACCCTTAATTCTCTTACCTTGTGTTACTTCATGGGTCCTTATACACTTAAGTCGCCTCAATCTAGGCTCATTTTCGGTCCCTCCTTTCATGCCTTTAAACAGGGTTCAGGATGCTTAGGGTTCGGTTTAGGGTTTAGGGTCTATAGGGCAAGCTCAAAGACCCTCTACAGTTGGGCTAAGTGCTTTGGCAAGCACTTCGCGGTAGGTGGAGCTTTACTAGACTCTAGACAGGTGGCAAACAAACATCGCGCAAACCCACAGGCACTAGTATCACCTGCACCCTAAACCCTAAACCCTAAACCCCAAACCCTAAACCCTTTTATTCCTGGGAGGTGGCGAAGACAGGCCAGGAGGAAGGAGCTCAGCTGCCGGTGTCGTCCATCTTTGCAAGAGGTGAACCCAACATAAGTAGGTTTTTTTTTTTTTTTTTGTGGGGGGGGGGGGGGGGGTTGGGGGGGGTTAGGGTTTTAAGGTTAGGGGTTCAGGGGTTTAGGGTTTAGGGTTTAGGGGTATTTCGGGGATGTAGGGGTTTAAGGTTTCGGGTTTAGGGATGCCCCGAGAAGCCTGACGAGCGTCTGGACGCCTGCAGCTTGCGAGTCAGAACCAGCCGAAGGCCAAACTGTCCTCAAGCGCACTTGGAGGTGTAGGCTTTCGAAAGCCCCTATCTGCTTCAGAACTCCTTCCCTCCAAAAAAAATCTTCCTTATAAGGGCAATATAGGGATTGTTATCTGTGGGTGTTTTTCCTTTGGGAGGGTTCTTAAGCAAGTAGTAGACATGCTTAAACATTGTTCATATAGGGGGCATGATCGTTTTTTGTTAAGGGCGGGGGAAGGAGGGGTGGTGGTGGCTCTTAAGCAAAGAGTAGAAGGGGGTTTCAGTCCTACTACTTGGAGGTTCATGGTACTTAACCCAATCATAACTTTACAGATAGCCCACTTATCAGCCCCTTAAACGCCCTAATGCGGTTATATTTAGAGTTATAATTGGGTTATGAAGTACCATGAACCTCCTACTTTGGGATGTTCCCCCTTCTCCTAACAGTCCTTAGTAGGGAGTACAGTACCCCCCCCCTATCAGAATCCCTCTGAAGGACTGTTAGTATAAGGGGGAACATCCCAACCCTAAACCCCAAACCCCAAACCCCAAGCCCTAAACCCTAAACCCCTAGACCCTCTGCGAGAAGCGTGGGAAGGATCCGAGGAGATTGAGGAGACGGAGGCCGATGCCGCTGAGGCAAGATCCGGGCCATGACCTAGCGCTTCCGGGGTTTTAGGGTTTAGGGTTTAGGGTTTGGGGTTTGGGGTTTAGGGTTATCGCAAGGGTGATGAGTTCGTCTTAGGGTAATAGGCTTGAGCGTTGCAGGAATTGAATACCAGGAATTGAATACCATACCATCGAAGCAGCGTTACGATGATGCGGTAGAAAGCAGCCTGAAAAGCAAGATGACGATGAGCGTTTAAGATGATAGTCGCAAGTAGATCTTTCATTCTGAGTATGCCCAGGTGCTGCAAGCCCCCCAAATGGCCCTCAAAAAAGCCCTTGCGCTGCTGGAAGCCCTGGTGCGGCCCGAGCTCGCGTGCCCTTGGTCAACCGCGGAGGTGGTAGGGTAGGGATCCACGGAGTGTCCTCCATGAGGCTGCTGGGGGCCATCGTCACTGTGACCGGCTGTGTAAGCCTCAGGGCAGAGCCACTCCAGGGATCCATCTTCTTCACCAGCCTGAAGCAGGGCGACTTGGTGCGCCTGGACTGCGGTGGGGCTGGTGCCGTGGAACGGGGGGTTGCTGGCGGCTTTGAAGAACCACCTGGTAGTGCAGGTGGACGCCTGGTGCCAGGGCAAGTGCCCGATGCCCATGACTCCGCTGGTCGACGTGGACCGAGCACTCCTCGGTGAAGGCGAGCTGCCGGAGCTGAAGAAGATGAATAAGACCTTCAGTCTGGCTGGGATGACGTTTTGCCATGACTCACTGTTTATTGCCTTCGGGGGCGCTGGGGGTGCAGGCGCCTTGCGCTGCTCGGACTGTTTGCCGGGATTCGATTGCACCTCGAACTGCTCGCTGGTGGATGGTGGAACTCCAGGCTCCAGCTCTAACTGTCGAGCTTTGCGGCAGGCATCACTTGTTTGGAGGACCATGTGCTTGTCGCCGACAACAGCAACTGGAGAGTGCAGGCGATTCCAGCGACGTGCGTGCGGGCGCCGTGTGATGTCAGGACATTCGCAACTGGATTGCAGTGGCCCCTTGGCATCGCGGCGGTCGGGAAGCGAGTGCTGGTCTCTCTGGACGAGGGCATCATGTCATTGTCCGACGGCACATCACGCAAATGGAGCAGAAGGGGGGACGTAGGCTTCCTCTTCGAAGGTGGAGGCCGAATCTTGGCCGCAAATGGCGGCGACGGCAGCGTCGTGGCCTTCAACCCGGCGTGCGACGCGAATTGCACGGCCACGCTTGTGTGGAATTCAACTGGGAGCTGGGCCAGGTCGGCCAGTGCGATTGCATACATGTCCAAGACGCAGGAGCCGGCTGTAGCTATCGTGTGACGACACATGGGCTTGCTGGAGCCGAAAGAGGGGTGACTCTGTTTGATTATCAGTTTTAATGGGTGCTGAACGGTCCGGCCTCGGGCCTTCTGTAATGCTGACTCCAAACCCTCGCACCAGGCCACTTCCGATTCCCATGCTGGCCGTTCTTTAGAGCCGTGGCCCCTAAACCCCAAACCCCAAACCCCAAACCCTAAACCCTAAACCCCAAACCCCAAACCCTAAACCCTAAACCCTAGACCAAGCTCTGGATCCAGAATGGCTGGGTGCTTCAGTCGGCACCTGAAAGAAGCAGTTGCATTTTAGGCGCGGCGGCCCGGAGCAACAAGAAAAAGGCGGTTTAGGGTTTAGGGTTTAGGGTTTAGGGTTTAGGGTTTAGGGTTTAGGGTCACAAAATCCAGCCCTTTGGGTTTAAGAGGTTTAGGGTTTAGGCTTTAGGGTTTAGGGGTTGGGATTCTCCCCATGATACTAAAAGACCTTAACAGGGATAACAGTACCCCCCCCCCCCCCCCCCCCCTAGTATAATGCCTATGAAGGACTCTTAGTATATCCAGCCCCCTTTTGGCTTCGGGATTTTGAGGTTCAAGCAAGAAAATGAGCGGATAGTTTGTAGGCCGAAAGTCGAGGGCGTCGGTATACAGGATTCCCTTGTTATAGGTCGCCTCTTGACTCTGCAAAGCTACAACTTTCCCCTATCCCCTCTCCCCACTCCTCCCGCTCCCCATTACACGCCATCCCCTCCCCCCTCCCTCGGGTCTCTGCTCTGTCTCTGCTGTCTCTGCTGTCCCTTCTGTCTCTTCTGTCTCTTCCGTCTCCGTCCACTCTGTGTGTGTGTGTGTGTGTGTGTGCGTGTGTGTGTGTCTCTCTCTCTCTCTCTCTCTCTCTCTCTCTCTCTCTCTCTCACTCACCCACCTCATTTGAATTGTCCCGCGCTTCGGGTTTTGGGGTTTAGTAGGGTTGACGGTTGAGGGTGGAGGGCTTGCTTTTCAAGTTGTTCTGTCATTCCGAATGTGCAGGGATATGCTTGCCAATGTAGAATAGAAGGAGTCTCACAAGAATACCTGCTAGATCCCCAATCCTTTCAATCAATACGCATGGGAGGACACGCGGACGCGGACCAGCGAAACGGTCGGCATGGTGGCGGAGGAAGGTTTTGAGCTGTGCCTACACGCAACCCACCCGAATACCATCACAGCAGGACAGCACGCTCAATGTGGTGCCAACCAGCGGCGGAAAGGTGCGCCTGAAATCAGGGTTGAATGGGTTGTGCTTTGGGATAAACACTTTACTTCGCTGATCCGTTCTTCAAACAATTCCAAGAACTGTTGCCCAAAACACTAAGCCCCAAACCCGAAACCCTCGATGACCCCTTAAGCCCTCCACCCCTTTCCGGTGCAGGTCCTGATGGCCCTCGCCGACGCTCGCCAGGGGATTAGGGTTGAGGGTGTCGTTAGGGTTGAGGGTGTCGGGCGGCATTCTGCATCGGCATGAGTGTGGGTTTATAGTTTCAACGAGCTTGTCGTTGGGTTCAGGATTATCCCGGGGAGTCGACATCTCAAGCCACATCGTCCTAAGCCTCCCAAACGTCGGCGGATCATCACTCCCTGCTTGGTACCTTAGCACGTACGATGGGATCATACTGCAGCGGAGATCCAAGATTACCTTTAAAAAAAGGCCTTGGCACATCCCGTTTCACTATATGGGAGGCCAACCCAAGCCCCTAAACCCTAAACCCTAAACCCTAAACCCTAAACCCTAAACCCGAAACCGGCCAAGGACGCCGGGCTCCAGTTCCTTGTGGCCGCCTCCCGCGCGAACGTGGGGGTGAAGTCTGGGAGGCGAGCGGTCAGGGAATGGTTTAGGGGGTTCCCCTATTACCTCTCGATGTTTAGGGTTCAGGGTTTAGGGTTTAGGGCTACTGCCCCCCTAGGTTCCCCCCATACTTAAGGCTGCTTAGGGAGGGGGGAACCTAGAAAGGAAGCAGAATGGTTTAGGGGCTAGGGTTGGCCCGAGGGCGCCTCTTGGGCTCAACAGGGTTTAGGGGTTAGGGTTTAGGGTTAGGGTTTAGGGTTTAGGGTTTAGGGTTTAGGAAGGACTTTCAAGGTTCAAAGGGGGTTTAGGCTTCGGGGTTTATACAGTGGGCTTCTTCTCAGGGTCTCTTGAGGTCGGCCTGCCAGTTCTTTGCGCTGCAACTTGATTGGGTAGAGCATTTCAGGTTAGGACTTTACGTGTTAGAGGGGGCATCGCTACAAACATCCCCGGAAGGTTTAGCGAAAACCGTTGCCGAGACCTGTGCAGGATCTTTGTAGGGTGGAGGAAATTATGGAAGACATGAACTTGAGTGAGGTTCTTCCAGTGCTTCCCTCAGCTGGGTTGCCGGTGGTATGTATGGTGCATCACCCAGCAGTCGTGACAGAACATAGGAAGGGTTGGAGCTAGACTGGCCTTGCATACTCTGTGCTGCAGATTGAACGTAGGCCCCCCCCCCCCTCCTACCCGCTCGCCCCTACAGCAAGGCCAAAACTCGAACGGCTTGGCCTTCCGCAGAACCCTGGGCCCTGACCCCTACTTGGAGGTTCATGGTACTCAGTAACCAATTACAACTGTACTTCTAACTGTACTTCTACCCATATTAGGGCACTTAGGTGGGTTATAAGTACCGTGGCACTTGGTGAATAAGTACAAAGAAACCTCCAAGCGGCCTAATTCTGCAGGTACCTCTTCGAGGTTCGCGTGGTGGAGGTGCTTCTGCCGGCCATCCCAGGCCGCGGTCTGAGGGTTTTGGGTCGAAGGGCTTGAGGTCTAAGGGTTCTGGGCATCCTTAAGTAGACAGACTATGTGAAATCCCTAAAAAGACTAAACCACCCTTTCCCAAAACGATAGATAGAATATCACAAGCCCCCAAAACGATAGATAGAACATTGGCCTAAAGTTTAGGGGCGAAGAGGCGCTCTAGGGGTCGGGATACTCTATCTCTGGGTTCCCGCAGGGGGTTGGAGGTGCTCTCTCTCATAAAAGCTATGACATCCTTAAGATTCCACCAAGCAAGATGCCAAGAGGCCAGCAGGAGGGCCCCCCAAAGAGGCCTCCAAAAGCTGTCTTAGACATGATCCTGCGAGTATTCTATGTGTGGGTTCAAAGATTCTGTGTATGGGTTCCTCAAGTACTCTATGTACGGGTTAACGATTCTATGCATGGGTGCCTCCAAAAACGTGGGGAGTCGCCGAAAAGCCCGAAAAACAAAACCACGAAACCCAATTTCTATCTATTCAAGGATGACTATAAGGGTTTAGGGTCTAAGGGCCTCAGGGTTTAGGGTCTAAGGGTTTTAACAATCAGGTCTGCCCTAAACCCTAAACCCAAAAGGGCCCAACCCGGGCGAAGATCCTGCAGCCCTCAAACCCGAAACCCCTCCAGGTTGCAAGGTTGCGCCTGAACCCTAAACCCTCAACCCTAAACTCACAAGCCTAAACCCTAAACCCTAAACCCTAAACCCTAAGCCCTAAGCCCTAAACCCTAAACCCCAAACCCTAACCCCCAAGCCCTCAAACGACCCAGGCGGCCGGATGAACCCCATCACCCCGATCCCGCCACCTGTCTGCAAATCTTACCTCTGGGCTTGTTCAGATTGCCTGGGTTTAGGGTTTAGGGTTTGTTTTAGGGTTAGGGTTTGGGGCTTCGGGTTTAGGGTTCAGGGCGTAGCCTTTAGGAAGGTTGCTAGCCTTCGGTTGTTCACCTTTCAGCAGTGGGGCTCGACAGATCCTGCTGGTACTATGTTTGTTTGCGTGTTTGTGATGATCTGACTCCTCCTCCACTCGCCGCCAAACCCACTTCCTCAGCTTGGGCTTGGTTTTTTGAGACGGTTTCCTCCCAGAGTTTGATCCACGCAGTGCGTGGCTGGGCGGGTGGTAAAGGACACGCAACGGGCAACCTAGACTTCAAGCATCCGCAGACTTTATCCCTAAACCCTAAACCCTTGGTTTAGGACTAGAGATCTTCAGGATCTTAAGGCCTAGGTGAGGGCTTCATGGCTTTAGGAGTTGGAGCGTTGCGGCGGTTGGAGTCTAGAGTCTAATCCCCTCCCCCTAAATTAACCCCCCCCTACCCCGCAATATTAAAATCCCCAAATATACTGTAATAGAACTATACAAACCCTAAACCCTAAACCCTAAACCCTCAATGTATTAGGGGGAGGGCATTAGGTTGGAGTCGAGGTCTTCCGGCCTCGTACGTGCTATGGCCTTCGTAAGGGGTGTTCACTGCGAAGATGTAGGTGCCCCTAAACCCTAAACCCTAAACCCTAAACCCTAAACCCTAAACCCTAAACCCTAAACCGTAAACCCTAAACCCTAAACCCTAAACCTAAACCCTAAACCCTAAACCCTAAACCCTAAACCTTATGAATTCCTCGGGGGGTCTCGGAGCCAAGCAGAGCTTGAAGGTCGCGGATGCCAGGTGTTGGGCCTTTCAGTCTTTGTTAAGTTTGGGGTTTACGGTTTAGGGTTTAGGGTTTGGGGTTTGGGGTTGTTGGAGGTCGAACTGAGTAGTGCCGAGCAGGGCAAAAGCCTTGGGGCAGATTTTTGGGCACTATCAACCGCGAGGTGAGCTCACCCTCCCCTACCAACCTCAGCCCTGAAAACCCTGAGCCATGAAACCCTAAAACCCTAAACCCTAAACCCTAAACCCCTAAACTCCTAAACTCCTAAACTCCTAAACTCCTAAACTCCTAAACTCCTAAACTCCTAAACTCCTAAACTCCTAAACTCCTAAACTCCTAAACTCCTAAACTCCTAAACTCCTAAACTCCTAAACCCTAAGCCCCCGAGGCGCCAGCTCTGCCGCGTGGGCTTCTCAAAGCAGGGCTCCTCGCTATTTCTGGGCGAGACGGACTTTCGGCGAGCAGCTGAGTTTAGGGTTTCGGCCTGCCTTCTGTGTTAAACCACCCTGAACCCTAAACCCTTAACCCGAAACCCTAAACCCTGAACCCAAGGGCTTCGGGCTTAGGGGTTTAGGGTTTGGGGTTTCGGGCTTCGGTTCAGCTGGCCGGGGTTGGAGCCGCTTCTAAGGGGTCTGAGCTGGGGCTTTGGGTTCCAAGTGGCTGAACTGCGCAGGGTTTACGGCTTAGGGGCTTAGGGCTTAGGGCTTAGGGTTTAGGGTTTAGGGTTTAGGGTTCAAAAAGAGTTCAGCTTGGTTTAGGGTTTGGGGCGCAAGCAGAAGCTTGCTATTCTGCCTTTTCTGTGTGTGTGTGTGTGTGTGTGTGTGTGTGACGGGTGGGTGGGTGGGTGGGTTGTGCGACATGTGAAGCATCAACCGCTTCTGAGCGAGTTAGAACATGTCACATCTATGTTGTCGGCAGTTTGAAAGAATCATGTGTAGGCTCCCCAACTCATCACTTCGTGGGTTTGGAGGGTTTCGAAATTCTCGGGATGTGGTGTAAGACGACAGGTTTGCAACGAACGAGGAGTGAAAATCCTGGGCATCTGGCGTGGGGCACGCTGTGGAATTCTATTCCTTCCAGGTATCGACCCAACCCTTATCGTTGTGGGAGCTGCTGCTTAACCACCTGGACTTATGTAGGAATTGACCTGACTATGCCTTTACAGCCGTCGAGGAAGACTCCGTTTGCTTCGATGCAGATGGCTGCTTCCTCTTCAACAAGCAGAAGAGTCTCTCAACAGCACCAAGCCAAAATGGCCTAAAACCCTAAAACTCCTCAATCCTGAAAACCCTAGACCCTAAAACCCTAAACCCTAAACCCTAAACCCTAAACCCTAAATCCTAAACCCTAAACCCTAAACCCTAAACTAAACCCCACACCCTAAAACCCTAAACCCTAAACCCTAAGCCCTAAACCCTAAACCCTAAACCCTAAACCCTAAACCCTAAACCCTAAACCCTAAACCCTAAACCCTAAACCCTAAACCCTAAACCCTAAACCCCAAGCAAGCCCCCGGTGGCCCAGTGGAGACCAGGCCCCGCGGCGGAGCGTTTTGTCCGGGACCACGTCTGGGGTGTGCTGCTGAATTTGGACCCTGCTGCTTGGAGAGTTTAGGGTTTAGGGTTTAGGGTTTGGGGTTTGGGGTTTAGGGTTTGGGGTTTAGGCTTCAGGGTTTGGGGTTGCGGATGCAACAAAGGGTTTGGGGTCTAGGGCCTGGGGTTTAAGGTTTGGGGTTGAGCGCTTCAGGATTTACGGTTAAGGCAAGCATTCTGGTGTGATCATGTGGTCCTATGCATGTTTTGGGTCTCGGTATGGGCACCGTAAAGGGTTAGTTGTGTGGGCATAGGGTCCCAGAATCGTTTTAGGTTCGGCACGGGCTTGTTTCATTTGCATGGGCACGAGCTGCCCTGAACCCTAAACCCCATTCCATGTCGAGATCATCCGATAGAATGGGAACGGTGCAGAGCAGATGAGCATGGCCCCTGCGCAAGGACGACGCACCGTACACATCGAGAAGTGCACCAAGCCAGAAAAGAAAGCATTGCTACAACCCGAAACCCTAAACCCCAAACCCTAAACCCTTTCGAAGTCCTGAAGCCTGGGGCACTTCCTTTTGGTGAGAACTGCGCCGAAAGCCGTCGTCTTGAAGAGCCCTTTCCTAGGATTTATGGCTTTGGGGTTTGGGTTTCAGGGTTTAGGGTTGAGGGGCCCCTGGTCCAAAGGGCCCAGGTTTCAGGACACCCCATCTGGTTCAGGGTGCTTGCTTTGCATCTTCTGGCCAAAGACCTAATTCCTAAACCCTGGTTGCCACTGAACAGAAGGCAAGCCTACACCCGACAGCCTAAACCCTCTTCCGCAAGACATCCCAAGGCGAGCCCCAATGTCAACACCGTCAGCCTCTTCAAAGACGGGCGCCGGGCCTCTTTGCAGCAAGCTTCGGGTTTAGGGTGTTAGGGTTTTAGGGTTTAGGGTTTAGGGTTTAGGGTTTCAGGGTTCAGGGTTTAGGGTTTAGGGTTTAGGGTTTAGGGCACACAGAGAGGGACAAACACAAAATTGGCAAGGGCAAAAACCTGGACGGGCTACGGCTGGAGCTTCACGGACAGGTCTAAGATTATGGTAGGGGTAGGAGTACCCTAATCTGGGTTGTCATAGAGCCTGCCTTACTTTTAACTTATGAACGGCCCATGAAACCTTCAACCCGCACGGGAGTAGGAATTAGGTTCACTTTGTCAACCCTTTAGCCCTAAACCCTGCAACCTCTCACCCTTATATATATATATATATGTACTCTCTAGAAGCCCTGAGCCGCAAAACCCTCTGCCCTCGACCCTCAACCTTAAACCCTACACTCTACACCCTAAACCCTAAACCCTAAACCCTAAACCCTAAACGTGGTTTACGGCTTGATGCGGAGGTATCCCGGCCGCAGCCCCTGCCCGAGCAGCTGAAAGGGCATGCGCTCTTCCCGCATGTCTCCTTCCGGAACGTCACGCTGCAGGCCCCCGTATGTATAGGCGTAGGTGTATGTACATCTTTTTGTAACCCTAAACCCTAAACCCTAAACCCTAAACACTAAACCCTAAACCGTGTATTATGTGTACCCCAATAAGGTACCCCAAAAATTCGGCAGCGCCCGACATTGTACAACCTTCACCCAGCTTGGAGTCTTGGCCATGGCGAACCTGCTGGTTTCCTGCATAGGGTTTAGGGTTTAGGGTTGAGGGTTTAGGGTTTAGGGTTTAGGGTTTAGGGTTATTCGGGTTGCGGGCCGTGGATAGCTTTAAAGCAGCTCGCAAGGCTTAAGCCCTGAACCCTAAACCCTTAATCCCCAGAACCCCGAGCTCCATTGTCACATGATACGCAGTAGGGAGTATCAGGGAACCTTGGGTTGTACACCCCCCTTGAACCCCCTCCCTTAAGAACCCCTATAATCAACCCTAAACCCTAAACCCTAAACCCTAAACCCTAAACCCTATGACAGGTACACTTCGGGCCCATGATGATCTCACCCTTGTCCTTCAAGTGCCGTACCATCCAGGCGATCCTAAGCACTGTGCTGCTTCTAGTTGGCGAAGCCAAGGTTCAGGGTTTAGGGTTTAGGGTTTAGGGTTTAGGGTTTAGGGTTTAGGGTTTCCTGGCAGTTGCAAAAGGGTTTAGGGTTTAGGGTTTAGGGTTTAGGGAGTTTAGAGGGCTTAGAGGGTTTAGGGGGTTTAGGAGCTTAGAGGGCTTCGGGGTTTAGTAGAGGGCTTAGAGGGTGTAGAGGCTTAGGGCACACAAGGGGGTTCAGGTAGAGGGTGTGCAGGGACAAGCTTGAACCAGAGTGGGGTTCTTGGGGTTTGGAGCAGTTTGGGGTGCGCCTCCGCATTTTATCAGGAGATTAAGACTCGTACCCCTAGGTTGTACCCCTAAATATACTTAATATACTTAATATACTTAATATACTTAATATACTTAATATACTTAGTATACTTAATATACTTAATATACTTAATATACTTAATATACTTAATATACTTAATATACTTAATATACTCAATATACTTAATATACTCCTAGTGCGACCCTTCTGCTACCTTAGCCTTTTTAGGGTCCCCGGCCCGGCCCACCGGAAAAAGTGACCGTCATGTCGAGAAGTGACCGAATTCTGGCTCGAGAGTCAGTCTGTGTGTGTAACACTGCCCAGTCGTCAGGTAGCTCAACGCTGTGGTTCCGTTGTTCACCCCAAACCCGGAAATGTGGGTAGCTTCTCTGCTTTTGCTCGGGCACCAGTTTCTTGCACACATGTCCCAAACAGACCCCCCCCCAAAAAAAAAAAAAAAATAAAAAGAAGTTCAGACCACCCCTCATTCCGTCGCATGCCACCCTTCGCACAGGAGGCCGCCGCCGAAGATGTCGTCGTGGCTCCATCCACCTTTGCCCAGGCACAGGTAAGAAGCATGGAGACTGTGGCAGCAGGCTTCACAATTTCAACAAGAAATAGGGAACCCCGACCCCCAAAACCCCCGAGCAGCCCAATCCTAGCAAGGTAGGACCTCGAAGATGGCCTTATGGAAAAAAGAACAAAAACAACTATTCGAATTCTTTTGGCCCCTATAGTAGCTCGTGTCTCTGGAGCTGTGCTAGTTGCAAGCCCCAAGATGCGGGAGCTGAAGCCTGCCGGCGCCAAGACACTGGAAGTCTCTGATGGCTGGGAGCTTGCCTAAACCCTTGGGGATTAGGCTAGCCCTAAACCCTAAACCCTTAGCCCTAACCCTGAACCCTAAATGGGGTTTAGGGGTTTACAGGGTAGCCCTAAGCTCTAACCGTACTGGTGCGGTTGAAGTGTAGGGCGCCAAGACCCACCGTCTGGAGATCATCCTGCGATTCTGCCCTGCCCCCGTTGCAAGGGTTTAGGGGTGTAAGGTTTAGGGTTGGGGGTTGAGGGTTTAGGGCCTAAGGTTTAGGGTTCGGGGCTTAGGGTTTAGGGAAGCCCTTAGACCCTCAAACCCTAAACTGGAGCGAGCCGCGGGCGCTGCGGTAAGCAGCGGCGAGCGATACCGCGTGGCGACAGGCCCGCGGACGAGCCCGAGCCGTCAGGCGAAGCCTGGCGAGGGCTCGGGGCCAGTGCGCGCGGTGAGCGCGGCCCACGCTTAGAAGGGTTGAACCCGCGTGCCAGCGTCAGTCTGGCCCCAAAGAGAATAACCCTAAACCTTCGGGTTTTAAGTTAAATCGAGGGTCCTTAGGATTCTAGGGTTTAGGGTTTAGGATTCTAGGGTTTAGGTTTCTAGGCCTTTAGGATTTAGGATTTAGGATTTAGGATTCAGGCCCGGTTTTTCAAGGTTTTTCAGAGTTTTTCAATGTTTTTCATGGTTTTTCAATGTTTTTCAGGGTATTTCAGGGTTTTTAACCCTCAATTCTGATGAAGGGCCGCCCCCGCGACCTTTTCACAGCCTAATTTTGGTCAAGGGGGGGTCGTATTTTTCAATTTTCAAGGCAAAATAGTCTTCGGAGACCCCCCCTTGCCTCAAACTCCGACCCCCCCTTGAAAGGGAAAGTTTGCCTCCAAAAACACCCCAAATGAGGGGGACCCCAGGATCGGCCCGGGTCCTAGTTAAAAATGCGATTTTTTAGTACTGAAATCGACGCCTCTGGGTGGCCTCTCGTTTTCTGGATTTTGACCAAAACCGAGCCTTCACCGGTTTCAGGATTTCAAGTTTGCCAGGTTTTTCAAGGTTTTCAAAGTTTTTCAGTGTTTTTTGTGGTTTTTCAATGTTTTTCAGGGTGCTTGAGGGTTTGTAACCTTCAATTATGATGAAGGGCCGCCCCCGCGACCTTTTCACAGCGTAGTTTTGGTCAAGGGGGGGTCGTATTTTTCAATTTTAAAGGCAACATAGTCTTCTGCGACCCCCCCTTGCCTCAAACTCCGACCCCCCCTTGAGAGGGAAAGTTTGCCTCTAAAAACACCCCAAATGAGGGGGGACCCCAGGATCGGCCCGGGTCCCAGTTAAAAATGCGATTTTTTAGTACTGAAATCGACGCCTCTGGGTGGCCTCTCTTACCTATATAATTGACCAGCCCTGTTGGGCACTCAAAGGCTTGGCCTTGTCCCGCCCTCGCACGCGCGAGCCTTGGCTTTTTTAAGGTTTTTCAAGGTTTTTCAGAGTTTTTCAATGTTTTTCATGGTTTTTCAATGTTTTTCAGGGTATTTCAGGGTTTTTAACCCTCAATTCTGATGAAGGGCCGCCCCCGCGACCTTTTCATAGCCTAATTTTGGTCAAGGGGGGGTCGTATTTTTCAATTTTAAAGGCAAAATAGTCTTCGGAGACCCCCCCTTGCCTCAAACTCCGACCCCCCTTGAGAGGGAAAGTTTGCCTCCAAAAACACCCCAAATGAGGGGGACCCCAGGATCGGCCCGGGTCCTAGATGCGATTTTTTAGTACTGAAATCGACGCCTCTGGGTGGCCTTTCGTTTTCTGGATTTTGACCAAAACCGAGCCTTCACCGGTTTCACCGGCTTCAGGATTTCAAGTTTTTCAAGGTTTTTCAAGGTTTTTCAGAATTTTTCAGTGTTTTTCATGGTTTTTCAATGTTTTTCTGGGTGTTTCAGGGTTTGTAACCCTCAATTATGATGAAGGGCCGCCCCCGCGACCTTTTCACAGCCTAATTTTGGTCAGGGGGGGGTCGTATTTTTCAATTTTAAAGGCAAAATAGTCTTCGGAGACCCCCCCTTGCCTCAAACTCCGACCCCCGCTTGAGAGGGAAAGTTTGCCTCCAAAACACCCCAAATGAGGGGGACCCCAGGATCGGCCCGGGTCCTAGTTAAAAATGCGATTTTTTAGTACTGAAATCGACGCCTCTGGGTGGCCTCTCGTTTTCTGGATTTTGACCAAAACCGAGCCTTCACCGGTTTCAGGATTTCAAGTTGTTCAAGGTTTTTCAAGGTTTTTCAAAGTTTTTCAGTGTTTTTATGGTTTTTCAATGTTTTTCAGGGTGTTTCAGGGTTTGTAATCCTCAATTATGATGAAGGAGAGGGAAAGTTTGCCTCTAAAAACACCCCAAATGAGGGGGACCCCAGGATCGGCCCGGGTCCCAGTTAAAAATGCGATTTTTTAGTACTGAAATCGACGCCTCTGGGTGGCCTGTCTTACCTTTATATATTTAAACCCTATAATCAGAAAATTGACCGGCCCTGTTGGGCACTCAAGAGTCTGGCCTTGTCCTGGCCCTTGCGCGCGCGGGCCTTGGCTTTTTCAGAGTTTTTCAAGGTTTTTCAGAGTTTTTCAGTGTTACTCATGGTTTTTCAATGTTTTTTCAGGGTATTTCAGGGTTTTTAACCCTCAATTCTGATGAAGGGCCGCCCCCGCGACCTTTTCACAGCCTAATTTTGGTCAAGGGGGGGTCGTACTTTTCAATTCTAAAGGCAAAATAGTCTTCGGAGACCCCCCCTTGCCTCAAACTCCGACCGCCCCTTGAGAGGGAAAGTTTGCCTCCAAAACACCCCAAAAATGAGGGGGACCCCAGGATCGTTAAAAATGCGATTTTTTAGTACTGAAATCGACGCCTCTGGGTGGCCTCTCGTTTTCTGGATTTTGACCAAAACCGAGCCTTCACCGGTTTCAGGATTTCAAGTTTTTCAAGGTTTTTCAAGGTTTTTCAAAATTTTTCAGTGTTTTTATGGTTTTTCAATGTTTTTCAGGGTGTTTCAGGGTTTGTAACCCTCAATTATGATGAAGGGCCGTGCCCCGTGACCTTTTCACAGCCTAGTTTTGGTCAAGGGGGGGTCGTATTTTTCAATTTTCAAGGCAAAATAGTCTTCTGAGACCCCCCCTTGCCTCAAACTCCGACCCCCCTTGAGACGGAAAGTTTGCCTCCAAAAAACACCCCAAATGAGGGGGACCCCAGGATCGGCCCGGGTCCCAGTTAAAAATGCGATTTTTTAGTACTGAAATCGACGCCTCTGGGTGGCCTCTCGTTTTCTGGATTTTTGACCAAATCCGAGCCTTCACAGGATTTCAAGTTTTTCAAGGTTTTTCAAGGTTTTTCAAGGTTTTCCAGTGTTTTTATGGTTTTTCAATGTTTTTCAGGGTGTTTCAGGGTTTGTAACCCATGATGAAGGGCCGCCCCCGCGACCTTTTCACAGCCTAGTTTTGGTCAAGGGGGGGTCGTATTTTTCAATTTTAAAGGCAACATAGTCTTCTGAGACCCCCCGTTGCCTCAAATTCCGACCCCCCCTTGAGACGGAAAGTTTGCCTCCAAAAAACACCTCAAATGAGGGGGGGACCCCAGGATCGGCCCGGGTCCCAGTTAAAAATGCGATTTTTTAATACTGAAATCGACGCCTCTGGGTGGCCTCTCGTTTTCTGGATTTTGACCAAAACCGAGCCTTCACCGGTTTCACCGGCTTCAGGATTTCAAGTTTTTCAAGGTTTTTCAAGGTTTTTCAGGGTTTTCCAGTGTTTTTATGGTTTTTCAATGTTTTTCAGGGTGTTTCAGGGTTTGTAACCCTCAATTATGATGAAGGGCCGCCCCCGCGACCTTTCACAGTCTACAAGGGGGGGTCGTATTTTTCAATTTTAAAGGCAAAATAGTCTTCTGAGACCCCCCCTTGCCTCAAACTCCGACCCCCCCTTGAGAGGGAAAGTTTGCCTCCAAAAACACCCCAAATGAGGAGGACAGGGCTTGCTGATGAGAAATGTAAACTTTTTATTTTCTTAATGTTTTGGGATTCTCTGGGTGGGTGGGTTTTTTCCGTTGCCTATAAAGAGAACAAGACAAAGGAGAGCGCAAAAACCAAATGAAAACCCTAAACCCGTCAAGGTTGAGATTTGGGTGGGTGGGTTGGGAGAGAGCGTGAACCTGGGCGCACACCACAACACACGTCCCGCGTGGTGGTGTGCGCGGAGCATGAGAAACCCTAAACCCTAAACCCTAAACCCTAAACCCTAAACCCTGAACCCTTGAAGCCTAAACCCAAGCCCTGCTCGGGAGGATGGTAAGTTCGAGGTGGTCTTCCCCGTGTCCTTGCCAGACGAAGGCCGGCCCTCTTGAAAGCGGTTTAGGGTTTAGGGTTTAGGGTTTAGGGTTTAGGGTTTAGGGCCTTACCTGAGAGGGCTCATAGGGGTGGGTTTGGTTTAGGGTTTAGGGCTTGGGGTTTAGCATTCCGCACCCAGGCCAGATGAAAAAAAGGGTTTAGAGTTTAGGGTCGGTTCATGGGTGGGTATGAGTAGTTCTGGATGGGTATCAGTGCCCCCCCCCCCCTCCAAGAAGCGATAACCAGGTTTAGTTTTGACTGACCGACGTATTTCTCCAGTTCTTTTGCTTCGCACTTACTTAGGCGCCTTCAAGGTTCTGGAAGTCGGGGCACCAGGCGCTCAAAACCCAAGAGCCCATGCAGAGCCCATGCCCAGAAGGCCCGGAAGCCTAGGGCCTAGACGTGTCCATGGCATGGCTTTGTGGCGCAAGAAGCTCAAAGAAGCCCTGACCGCTTCGTGCAGCGCTGAAGTTGGCTCGAAGCCCTGCAGAACCCTAAGCCCCATGCTCAACAGACAGGACAGGGAGGGAAACCCCCAAAAACCTAACAACCCTCAACTCGAGCCGGCCCTGGGGAGCAGATGGCTGGTCCATTCCAGGAGTACAGCAAGCGCTGGGTGGAGGAGTTCAGCAAGCCCACGGACGTGTGCTACTCACACTTCCTCATGCAAGCCTCGGACAGCTTAGATGCTGGCGTGATTGCTGCGATCGGGTGTGCCCTTGACGTCCTGCCTCCGTTCCGAAGGAACGACAGGCCCAAGGTAAGAAGCTTGGTAGCCCGGCGGTACCCATTTTTCCCGTTTCAGGTTATGGGTTCATTTGAGACAAGTAGCCAACCCCGAAAACCCTAAACCCTAAAACCCTTAAACCCTTAAACCCTAAACCCCTTTTGCAAGCTTGGGGGCTACCAAGGAAGGCTGCTGCTCCCCTCGGTTCATTTGGGTTTTTTTTAACCCTAAACCCTAAACCCTAAACCCTAAAACCCTAAAACCCCAAAACCCCTAAACCCTAAACCCTAAACCCTAAACCCTAAACCCTAAACCCCAAACCCCTAAACCCTAAACCCCAAACCCTAAACCCTAACCCCTAAACCCCAAACCCCCAAGGAAGGCTGCCGCTCCCCTCGGTGCCCGCCTTCCGCGGAGCCGGCCGCAGCAAGCTGTCCTCGGTGCTGCGGGCCTTCGCTGCCTGGAAGCCCGAGGTCGGCTACCAGCCCGACCCTGAAGAGAAAGAGCGAGTGTCCTTTTAAAGGGTTTAGGGTTTAGGGTTTAGGGTTTAGGGTTTAGGGTTTAGGGTTTAGGGTTAGTAAAGAACTAGTTGAACCTTTATAAACTTTTTGGGGCTTCCTTAGCAGCAGGACGAGTAAAAGTAGTTGAGCTTTTATAAACTTTTGGGCCTTTTGGGCCTTTTGGGCTTCCTTCCTTAGTAGGAATCAAAAAAGGAGTTCAGCCTTTCTTCCCCCTTGGTTATTGAAGCAAGGACCTGGCTCTCTTGGCTGCGCACATCATGGCTGTGGCCAGGCATGAGCGCGTGACGTTTCAGGCATTGGTGACCGTGTACCTGAGATATCATCTGCAGGACTACTTCGAGGGCACGGGCAGAGAGGAGGCGCTGGGGTGTGATGTGTCCAAGATTTGGGTGGCAGCACATCGTGACTTTCCTGGCTTAGCGCATGCGTTCAGCCGCTTCAACCAGACGTCGCTCTTTGAGTCCACGGTGCTGTCGCTTCTGTCGACGTTGCTGACTCAGGCGTACTGTCCAGCCATGCAGCCCTTCGAGTATCACGTTCGGCTGCTGGACTACTTCCTGCTGCCGGTCGGCGAGTATGTGCCCGAAGATCCTCGAGCACAGCTTCGCCAGCTGGTGCTGTGCATCATGGCAAAGCACGAGAGTGCATTCCTGCAATGCGAAAGTGAAGCGGAGCTCCATGCTATAGCAGAGGATCTCAAGCAGTTCGTTCGCGTGGACAACGTCTTGCTTCAAATGCTGAATCGCAAAGACCAGATTCCCCAGATCCCTCAGGGCACTTTGTGGCCGTCAGCGCTGATGGCCGGCTTGGGCGCCGTTGTGGGGCACATATGGTAACTGGCCACCTGTTCGGCATGCTGCGCAGCCAAAAGGGTTTTTGTTGACGCCGCCAGCTCTGTGCCCTTGCTCTCGCACTTGTTGTGGTGCTTGCCGGAGCCCTCAGCCACACCAGAGCAACCATGGGTAGTTGGTAGTAGCCCTAAACCCCTAAACCCTAAACCCTAAACCCGAAACCCTAAACCCTTTTCCCTAAACCCTAACTAAGTGAAACAAATCCTGATTATACCCTAAACCTAAATCCTCAACCCTAAATGAATGCAAACTTCCGACTTCCCAACCTTCGCGACTCGGGTGGCAAAGCAAACCGCCCTCGGAGGAACCTTCGACTGGCTGTCTGAGTTCCTGGAGCAGCACCCGGGCTACGTGGAGATCAGCGCGCCCGGGGCCGGACTTGGCCCGTTTGCCCTCCATTGGTGAGCTTAGGGTTTAGGGTTTAGGGTTTGCCCTCTATTGGGGGGTTTAGGGGTTTAGGATTTCAGGGGCTTGGGGGCTTTTAGGGGGGTTTTAGGCTCGCTTAGGGGCCTACGGGGTGGCCCCTTTAAAAACGAGAGAGAGCTGGAGTGTAGGCAGCATAGGAGATGAGGAGGCGCTCTCATCCTGCCTTCTACTCGTCGTCTACTAAATTGCTTAAGAACCCTAAAAGAATTTAAAAAAATAATCCCTTAATGAGGGCGAATACTTGTTTTTGTTTTTTTAATTTTTTCGGGGTTCTTGAGCAATTAGAAGTCGTCACAAGGCGCCTGGCTCCAGTCCGGGCATGCAATACGTCAGGAGTATGAGCCCTGCCTTCGAACCTAAACAACCCTGAACCCTAAACCCTAAACCCTAAACCCTAAAACCGCTAACCCCTACTAAACCCTAGCAATGAACAAGCCCCTCAGCCCGAAACCTGTGGGGGCGTGCCTCGGTGTGCTCGAAGCCCCTGCACACCAGCGCGCTGAGGACAGAAAGATCGTGGAGTGGGCGACCATGAGCGGCTTGGGCAAACCAAGGACCCTTATGCTGAGGGTTGAAAGGGCTTAGGGTTTAGGTTTTGGGGTTAAGGCTACTAAGAAGCAGTAAGTTACAAGGTTAAGGGTTTAGGGTTTATGGGACCCTTATGCCCGCCCAACCTCTTGCCTTTCAAGCATGTCCTTTATGCTGAAATGTTACCCTGCAGTGCAGCGTGGCAAGAAAACCCTAAACCTGTTGCAGCTGTACCCGGCACCCTAACCCCTGAACCCTCAAGCCTGAAACGAGCTGCAAGGGCTGTCAAAGTTACGGCCCCATGTTGCCCTGAGCAGGATTACGTCCCTCAAGAATTGCAACGACAAGCCGGACGTCAACTTCGGCATACAGGCAGTTTTGGGTTCAGGGTTTAGGGTTTAGGTTTAAGGGTTCAGGGAGCGTTGGAACCGTTTGTATCACGGTTCGGGCTTGTAGGGCAAGAGGGGTTGAGGGTTCAAGGACAGGAGAAACAACCGAAACCCCAGAGCAGGGCGGACGCAACGGGCGCCGACTAAATCAAATGGCTTTGCGCCCTGTTCCGTGCTACGTACTTCACTGGTAAGTTTCGGGTTGCAGTGTCCCAACCCTAAACTATAAACCCTGCTCCCCCGTTAGAAGCCTTAAGCCCTGCACCCTTTAAACCCAAAACCCATACCCAAGGACCCAGAGTAGGCCCCCTTTTTTGGGCTTTAGAGTTTCTTCTACAGGGTATAGGTTCCCTGAGAAGCCCGTGACTAGCCCGTTTCAACCAAAAACATGGTGCTCTTTTCATTCTTCGGTTACTCTTGGATCTAGTACCTCAAGCCTTCACAAGGGCCCTCAAAAGCACAGCCCTACAAGCGGCAGATCCTCCAAAAAGGGCCTTTAGAAGGTCGAGGGATCAGAGTTTAGGGGTTTTATTTCCTGTTGGGTCTGGGTATTAATGTAGGAATATATGCAATTAAACTATATCATTATATCATAAACCGTAAGACAATAGGAATATGAATCCTGAAAGAACCGCCAAGAATGATGACTCGTTGTTGGTATCCGCTCAGTACTTTTGAATGCACGAATATAAGTCCGATATGTATACATATCTCTAAACCGTAAACCATCGATATAACATGGGGGTCGGAATAATTACGAATAGTATATTCCCTTGTGGTCCCGTTATGATTTTACTATAATAACCCCTTTCAGGTAGACAGATTTTGGGTCACCCTAAACCCTAAACCCTGAACCCTAAACCCTAAACCCTAAACCCTAGACCCTAAACCCGTGAGGGTTCGAAAAGGGAGCTTAGGCATGCCGCAAACCGCAACTTGGTCGGGCCGAAGCCCTGACCCCAATTACAGTTTGGGGTTTAGGGTTTCGGGTTTAGGCTGTTTAGGGCTCAGGGTTTCGGGTTTAGGGTTTAGGGTTTCGGGTTTCGGGTTTAGGGTTTTCGGGAACCCCTAAACCCTAAACCCTAAACCCCTCAGCCCTGAAAGGTTATTGACGAGCTTTCGCCTCGTGGCTCGGCAGAAGTATCTCGAAGGCCCAGGCTTCGGAGATGATCCCCTCAACCCCTTTAGGGTTTAGGGTTTAGGGTTTAGGGTTTAGGGTTTAGTGTTTAGGGTGCCCTAAACCCTAAACCCTAAAGCTTGAACCCTGAGCCCTGAGCCCTAAGCCCCAACGGCGCGAAATCCTCTTACGACCAGGAACGCCAAACCCACAAGAAAGGCAAATAGGACTTTTTGGGTATAAGTACATGTAAAAATTAAATCGATACATAAATAGATAGAAGAGATGTATATATATATATATATAACGTTTTGGTATATTTACAGTTATTATTAAGTTATATGGGCTTTCAGGTTTCAGTAGGTTGAACATTTTTTGAGAGAGAGGGAGAGAGTTCCTTAAGCTCCTACTGTGATGGAGCGAATCCTAAACTATCTTGGCCCTTGGGTCATGTTGGGTTGAAGAGGATCACGTTGAGGAATATGTGTCAGAGGGTTTTGGCTATGTTTTACTCCAAACCCTAAACCGTAAACCCTAAACACCCGAAAGGGCCAACCTTGTTTGGCAAATCCTAAATGGCGCGATCTGGGAGGCCCCTGGAAGTGCCGCCTTGTAGTGGGATGTGTGGGATTCTGTAGGGATTCTTGTGGGGGACCCACCCCATCACCCTAAACCCTAGACCCTAAACCCTAAAACCCTAAGACCCCCCGAAAGGTCGGCTGGTGCTTGCTGTGGCACCTCTCGTGCCACGGAACTACGTGGTGATGGAGGCGAGGCCCCCGCCGATGCTTTTCAAGCCTCAGGACTTTGAAACCCTAAACCCTAAACCCTAAGCCCTGAGGCCCCTGAATTACGCAACCTGAAGGAGGCTCGGAGGCATGTCGCGGTACTTGCGAGTAGGAAACGTGAGCTAAGAAGAGTGAAGTGTCCCGGGGCGCAAGTCCCGGCCATGACCCCAAAACCTACAGGGTTTAGGGTTTAGGGTTTAGGGTTTAGGGTTTAGGGTTTAGGGTTCCCCAAACAAAGCAAAGCCTCAACCCTTACATTCCTCTGACGGGCCTGCGCCAAGGTCCGATCGAACTTGATCAAGGCTGAACGCCAGGACTTCTAGGGAGTCTGCGATAATGATACGGGGTACCTTACTGGGGTCCCTATATTAGGGGTCGATTAAGCATTGCAATCACACGAATGTGCAGGTCATCACCAGTTTTGACTGTACAAGCAGTTACCCTGTTTATCCAAATTTAAGTAGGGCTCTGTAGGGTTGCGAGCAGTACCAGTTGCAGTAAACTGTCCTCAACCATGCCGGGCTGTGTAGTTCAGCTTCGACGATCTTCGAGAAGCTTCGGATTGGTAGGTGGAAATTGGGATCAGAACTTGCCCCCTAGACCTCAGCCGAAACCTCGAGAGGGTTGGGCAATCTCAATACCTATGTAAGCCTCAAGAAGGAAGGAAAGAAGGAAGAAAGGAAGGAAGAAAGGAAGGAAGAAAGGAAGGAAGAAAGGAAGGAAGAAAGGAAGGAAGAAAGGAAGGAAGAAAGGAAGGAAGAAAGGAAGGAAGAAAGGAAGGAAGAGGGAGAATCGATCAATCGAACCTGCGTGACTCCGGCGGCCTGCGGACGGCAGCGACTGCCTGCGGTTGCGCAGAGAGGCTGCGGCAAGGAGGAGGCGGAGGAGGATCCACGACAGCACCCAAAAGGCCCTAAGGGCCCTAAACCCTGGAACCGAGGCTTTGGGCCCAGGGGTGTCGATGATTGCTCAGAGGATCCGCTGAAGGGGGGGTGTTGCCGAAGCGCCTGAGACACCTAGAGACGCGATGGAGGTGAACGCCCGTGTGCTGAAGCCACAGGATCTGGACTGGCAAGCATCACTGCACTTGGCCGAGCATTTGCGTCAGATTGTTGATGAGAAGGGTCTGTCTCCCGTTGCCCTCTCTGGCTTGAGGGGCAGCGAGTGGCGCTCGGCCACTCAGGGAATGAGGCCGGTGTACGATGGTAGGACACACTCAGATTCGGTGGCCTGCGGCAACGCCCTGAGCTCCTGTGCCAAGGAGGGCCGATGGTTGGTGGCCATCCAGCTTCTGCACTGCATGTACTCCAGGCTCCTCACTCCAGGCGTGGTCCTTTGCAGCAGCGCGATCAATGCCTGTGATAAGGCGGGGGAGTGGCAGGTCGGCCTCCAGTTTCTTCAGTTCATGCACTGGATGCAGCTACGCCCCAACGTCATTTCCTTCAACTGTGCCATCAGCGCCTGTGAGAAGTTGGGCCTGTGGAAGGCAGCCTTTGTGCTGCTAGCGGAACTCGACCTGTCCCAGCTTCGACCCGACGTCATCGGCCTCAATGGTACCACCAGCGCCTGTGCGAAGGCTGGGGAGTGGCAGAGGGCGTTGGAGATGCTGGGGAGCATCTCAGCACTTCGCTTGACCCCCAGCGTCGTTTCTTACAGCAGCGCCATCAGTGCCTGTGAGAGTGGGGGCCAGTGGGCACGGGCCTTGGCGATCCTTTTCTGCATGGAATCTCAACGCATTCGTCCGAAGCTCAGGCCGACTGTTATCAGTGTTTTGTCTTTGTCTTGCTAAGTATGATTTCCTGAGCATCAGCACAGGAAGTGTGCATGAACGTAACGCAGTTGCTGCAATTGGCACTTTACAGCACAACACTTTGTGAACTTTAAAGCAAGCCCCACACGATGCAAGTGTTCTCCCTGCTCCCAGCATGTGAACCTCCTCCCAGACAGCCCTGGAAGAGGAGGCCTGTCGTTCATGCCATTCATGGCTGCATAAGGTAGCCCGAAACCCTGAACCCCTAAACCCTAAACCCTCAACCATAAACCCTACACCCCCTAATCCCCAAGGAACGTGGTAAGTTACAGCGGTGCCATTGCCGCCTGTGACCGCGGGTGCCGGTGGCAACTGGCGCTGGAATTGCTTGGCTGCGGCTGGCTGCAAGAGTGACATGCAACAGGGTTTGTATTGCTGTTATTGGTGAGTGCATATAAGGTTCCTTTTTAATATTGGTGAGTGTATATGCCTGGTGTCCTTTTGGGGGTACAAGAAATATATACCCTGCTTCAGGTTCTGCTGCAAAGGGGGCAGATGTACCCATGTAGACTATGTCCGCACCCGTGCCCATACATCCGAAATGTGATCTGCTATTCTCCTCAGCTTGCCTCAGAAGCCCTAAACATCCACCCCGCCCCCTCCCCCTCCCCCCCCCCCCCCCCCCAACAAAAGAATTCAGAACATAGAGAAAGAGTGTTCATCTGAGGCATGGAATTAGCCAAAGTCAGGCGCAACGTAGTCAGCTGCTTGCCCGCGTTGGCCGGGGCACGTCGGGCTAGGGGTTTCGGGACCTTGCTTTAGAAGGTTACTCATTATCTGAGTAGGCAACCTTCAACCGTTGAGGGTATATCAGAATCCTACCATAACTGAAAGGTTCACCTTTTTTGGCCCAGGGTGCTCAGCAACTAGGAATAAGTATTGGGATGTTCCCCCTTTTGCTAATAGTCCTTAATAGGGATTATCGTACCCCCTAGTATAGTCCCTATTAAGGACGGTTAGAAAAAAGGGGGAGCATCCCAAAATATGTACCATAAACCTCCAGGCCGAACTCGAACAGCAAAGTTGTAGACCTAAAACCGAAGGGGGAAGCCAGGACTGATCCACCCTTCAAAGCGCTCCAATACTCATCCTAATGTGTGCTTAAGAGTTCCCCCCCCCCCCCAAACAAAAAGAATGAAACATCTCCTTCCCCCCCCCCCCACAAAACACAATTTCTTCCTTGCAAGGATGATTACTTTTCATGTTTTTGGGTTTCTGAAGCAAGTAGTAGTCGTGCTCTGGTCAAAAGGGTTCGAACGGTTCGTGGCCACTCAGCAGCACCCCCTGTAGCACGCGAAAACCTTTGCACCGTGCATAGGCCTCCCGGGCCGGAGTATAATCAACTGAAGTCCCCTGTGGGGCATGACGTATGCTTATTTCATCTAGAAGCGTGAGGGGGGCGGGGGAGGGCGGGAGGTTTTCACAATTAAGGGTCCCTTGGTTACCGGAAGTTCTGCCATATTTGGTTTGGTATGAAAGGTGGCCCTAATTTTGGGAAGCCCCCCCCCCCCCCGTCCCCTACTGAAAATGCAACTGTGAATTTTGGTTCTAATTACGGGGAAGTGTACCCGGAACCCTGAACCCTAAACCTGAAACCCTAAACCCCTAAACCCTAAACCCCTAAACCCTAAACCCCTAAACCTTAACCCTCAACCCTCAACCCTCAAACCTCAACCCTCAACCCTCAACCCTAAACCCTAAACCCTAGCCCAAAACCCTAAACCCTAAACCCCAGGTTTCAGCAGCGCCATCAGCGCCTGCCAGGGCGGCAGCGCGTGGACCGTGGCTCTCGACGCTTCCTTGAAGACGGGATTATGCCAGTTTAGGGTCTAGGGTTAGGGTTTAGGGTTTAGGGTTTAGGGCTTAGGGTTTAGGGGTTAGGGTTTAGGGTTTAGGGTTTAGGGTTTGGGGTTTGGGGTTTTCGGTTTGGGGTGTGGGGTTTAGGGTCTCGGGTTTAGGGCTCAAGGGTTTTCAGGCTTGTCCGAGTCTGGGTCCGAAACGGGGTGAAATCGCAGAACACCGATTGTAAATAGGGTTCAAGAGGGGTTCAACTTCTGGGCAGCTACAAGTACGAATGAGGTTTTAAGTGACCCTTATCCTAAGCCTAAACGCTAAACCCTGAACATAATACAGGAGCCTTAACCAATAATTATTTTCATCACCTTTGACTCCCTACATAATTCTTCCACAATGCACCGAACGAACCAGTTCTAGATTTGCAAGGGTGGTGCGTGTCTGTGTGTGCCCTGCGCACCAACACCCTTAGCCCAAGGCACAAGGCCCTCAAACTCTGAATCCTATAGCCCTGATCCCTGAACAGTAATTAGACAGAAACACCAGAAATCTACAACCTTCATGCTCGACGTCCTAACCCGGAGCCCTAAACCCTACCCAAGGAGCTGCTGTGCATTATGGAGAACTCTGCCGTGCTCCCGAACGAGCTCCTGTGAGATAAGTTCTGCCCCTACCCGCCCCCCCAAACCTTAAACCCTTTTAGCCCTAAACCCTACATTCTGGGCCCAGCCGCGAAGGGGAAGGGCGCCGTTTCACCGCAGACCGAGCAGAAGGAGGCCACCGATGTTCCTGCGGCCGAGCCTCCTGCAGCTTCACCAAGCCAAGCCGCGGTCGCAGCGCTTGCCGCCTTCGGTATCTTCATTTTGTCAGGCGTAGGCCACCTGCGCCTGCGCCGCCTGCGCCGGCGCCTGTTCCTGCGGCGGCGGCGCCGCCGGCAATCGGCAGGCCAGATGAGCCTGCCCTGCTGCAGGAGCGTGGCGCGCGATCATGACGGCGTTTGCCTGGCGAGCCCCAGGAGGGCTTTCCCTGTCTCAATGCTACAAGTAGCCGCGCGCGATTCGGCGTGCGGCTACAACAGAATCTAATCTGCTCAGGGAAAAAACAAATAAAAGAGTGGAGAGGGGACTGTGACAGACGGCTTGATCATCGGTTTGACTGGTTCGGTCCCGACGTTCAAGCCCATTTCAAGTAAAGAGTGGTCGTGAAATTTGGTCAACTGGACCTCCTGGAAAAATGGAGGATGGCAGACAGTCAATGAGGATAAATGAGAGCATCTCTGCTTCAGTTCTGTTCTACTTTTCGTAGACTTTGCTCGACTTCCTTACTGGTACTGCCACTGCCACTGCCACTGCCACGCTTCATAGCTTAGCTGCAGAAGTTCTGGGCACAGTAGGCTCTTGGCACAGTAGGATCTTTGGGTTGGGACATAGGGTGTAGGGGTTGAGGATTGAGGGTTGAGGGCTTGTGCCGAGCCATGGACGACCCATACTGGGTCCAGCGGTGCAACCGTCTTCGGCGGGCCATGGTACTGCCAAAGCCTCGACAAGCCCAGAGTCATGTCAACCTCAATCTGTCTGCACTGGCCGGAGGCCACGGCCACGGCCCCGAGGTGCGCTGTTCGCCGTTGCATGGCCCCTGCGATGTCAAATCTGCTAATCCTGCGCGTGCAGGCAACTCGCTCACTCCGAGCCCGGCCTCGCGCCGGAAGCA